GGTAGAAGTATGTATTATAAGGTTCCTCATAATGCATTTCTTTTGACTGTAATGTTGGCGGGGGTGCATTAATAAGAAGAATCAGTTGGTAGGGACATGGTTAAAAATTGCACCAATGATAGTCCTCATAAATGCCTCTGAGATTTGTGTTACTTCAGAAAATGCAAGTGTGGGTGCACATGCTTGCTGATATATAATTTTTGCCTTGAACGATGTCTTGTTATCTATGTGCATTTCTTGTGTTCACTTCAAAATTTCACCGAGGTTAAAAAGCAGCTTCTCTTGCTGGAGAAGGGCTAAAAGACTGCAGCAATGTGAGAGAAGTTAATATGGTCTGGTTGTGAAAGGCACATGTGAAAGGGTCACTGGACTGGGGTCACAGAACTGAATCGTTTCAGGAGCTAAGAGTTGTTTTTGTGCCAGTAATACGGATTGTACCACTTATTGACAACTTCTCTATTTGAATAATTTGGGTGTGAAATTCAGCATCAGCATTTCACATATCAAACTTTAGAATATTTTGTGACAAATCTATGACATTTTGCTTCAACAAAATGGAAAGCATTTATCTCCCTTGAGAACATAAAGCCATTTTTCAACAAACCTATCTATGTAATGACTTAGCAGAGCTTCTTTTGCATATCCTTACTTGCTCCTAATTTGGTTTTGTTGTTACACATCTCCAAAACCTAAAGAAGCGATTCAGTAAAGATTTGTCTCAATCTCCAGGTTAACTAGATGGAGGTGAATCCCAGGAGTGAGTGATTTTTGATTTACTCATGTCAATAGGAAATGAACACAATTTACTGTGCACTTTCTTTTAGGTTATTCTGGCCCAAATCAAGGTGCTTTGACTACTTGTATCATGAAGCAGAAGCACTTCTGAGGAACTTCCCTGTCCAAGCCACAATTTGTTTTTATGAAGATTCTGAAAGTGAAGAAGAGAGTGAGGAGGTAGAACATGAAACTGGATGAGAACTGAATCATTAATTGAGCGCTAATGTTACTGTTCATATTCATTAATTTAATAATATTGACATGTTATCATAGTATTTTAAAATAATTTATGTGTAAGTTATTCTTAATTAAAATTGTAAGCATTTTTATTTTTATATCAGCATTTGAGTTTTTATAGCCCTCCCATTACTCCCCTTGTACTTCTGAAATTAATAATTTTGTTATACTAGTAACATCAGAGCATTAATAGAGTTGAATTGGGAGAAAGAGGAGGTTATGTATTGAAAGCTGGAAACATAATCTTCTCCCTTAGAACTAACTTCTAACATACCTAAGACACAATCCTAAACAAATTTAGACAGAACCCCTTTACCCCACAATTCTCAGTTATGCTGGGTGGTGCATGTTGAACATTGTAAGCCATTTTCCTACCTAAACTTGCATAGGATCTTCTGTCTGATATTTTGAAGTCTAAATTTATTTATCTAAAATCTATCTAAATATTTTATTTGGTGAAAAGGCTGTGATTTCATTGGAGCTTATTCATACTGAGGAGGTCAACCTTGAAACATTTTGCATGGTCACAAATGGCAAGATGTGTGAGATTAGACATATCAGGAAAGCTAAAAGTTTTTCTTTCCCACATCAACTATATTGGGCTGTAGACACTAGTAGAACAGACACGGTTGGGAAAGTGACTTTCCTTTTCACCATGTAAACATCTCAGTCTGTTCTGGAGAGTTCAGAAATCCATTGGAACAGATCTTGGGGTATGAGGGGAAAGTGGGAGGAGGGAAAGGGGAAGTCTTGTTGCATGAGTAGAAACCTTTGCATGTCAAGTCAGTAATCTGTTGCATTCTGAAAGCTATACTTAGGGTAGCTTCCAGATAACATCTAAAAATATCCAAACCCTCTTCAGGCATTCCATAAAGTGTGTTGTTTAAACTGCAAGAACAGAGAGCATGCTAACCCCACCCCCTCTCGTCATTCTTGCTGCACTGAATGTGTAGGGGACAACTTTGTGCACAGCCACGTGATGTAGATGATGCAGTGTTTTGGATCACGTGGACAGCTCACATAGATCGAGGAGGCTCTGTGCTTCAGACAGTCGCCTTCTACATACGCAGGGTCAGAAGAACAAGACAGCAGAGGGCCAAGTCTGGAATGTTCCCTGGCCTTGTGTGTTTAAGCAACACGCTGCATCACACCCTGCATAGGGTTCTGTTCCCAAGCCAGTAAGACTAAGGCCACAGTCCTGTAGTAGACATGTATAGGTCTATAATGTAATCTTCAGTCCTGTGCATGCTAACCTGAGAATAAACCTCACTGAATCAGTGGCACTTATCTCTGAGTAAACATGCATACGGTTGCACTGAAGCGCCATAAAAGGGTTCAATCCAGGCTCAGATTATTGATACAAAATGTTGCTGCCTTGATAAACTAGGTTAATCAGAGCTGCTTCAGTTTGACAAACACAGGCACAGTTGGAAGTGCATAAAACATGTAGGAATCATGCAAACTTAAACATTGCATGTGCTTGTAGTAAAGTGCAGCCGATATCAGCTTCCTAATGGAAATCCAGCAAATTGTCCAACCCATTTTTTAAAATGTGCTTTAAAGATACTAAATTTTAGAAGGCATTTTCTACTTTGATTTGTTAAAACATTGTATAAGCTGTGCTGATTGCTTTTTATATAATATTGTAATCATTTTTATTATTTTATACATTATCATGAATCATCCTGAAGGATGCATTTTTCTGAAAGGTGGGATATACATTTATTATATAAATAAATAAAACTGGGCATGCATGTAGAAAAATGCATGCATGTTCAATCCCTACATGGAGTCATCTTCATGTATGTTTACAGAGACACATTGTTGATAGAAAATATATAGTGTAAGAAGCAACCTGAAATGGTTTAAGAGTTATTGTCTATAGAGATAAACTGAATTGCAGTCCCCACTCTGCATCATGCATGGCTCTTCACTCACTGCAGTGAACCCACCAACCTTTAAGTGACTGCTATGAATTAAATGATCAAAGATTATGTTCCACCCGAAACCCAGTAATGAGATCCACAACGTTACAGCTTTGTTCCATGTATGTTTACTCAGAAGAACTCTTCATTGTTTTTCAGTGGAGTTTACTTCTAAAAAAAAAACGTGTGGAGGACTGCTCCTTGAACCAAGTTAATGAATTTTAAGTTAACTGATTGAACTTCTGGTACCCCTAAGCCCTGCTGACATTTCTGAAATATGGTATGCCCTCTACTATGCTATTCATGTACAAATTCCATATGATGTTTCTGAGCAAACATGTATAGGATTAAGCATCTTAAATGTGCCTCTAGTGACAATGCTGGGGCCAACAGCTCCCACTAATTATGAACCTGATTCTTTAGGGGAGCACAACCCCTTCTAGAACAGGTTGAACATCACTTAGCAGACAACTACCCACTAACAGTACCTCAGTTTACTGGCCCTCATCCAGCCCATTCTCATACTCAAAAATTGATTCAGAACAGCCACTACCTCACCTGGATTTGACAAAGGAAAGAGCTGTGTGTTATCTACACATTGATGACTCACAGCCTGGATGACCTCCCCTATCAGTTTCATGTAGCATTTGTTGAAAGGAATGGGGGATAAAACAGTCCTGTGGAAACCCATAGCATAGATGCCAAACGCAGGGCAATAATTGCTCAGCACCATAGGAGCAGAACCACTGCAGTGCAGTGGATAAGCAGTGCAGTGCTTCCAACTCCCAGTCCAGGCTGCTTATCCAGAAAGATAGCATGGGTGATAGAGACTGCTGAAAAATCCAAGAGAATTAACATTTGTCTCTTAGTAAAGGTCATGCCAAAGTGCAACCAAGGCAGTTTCCATTCCAAAATGGAATGAAGCCTGCCTGGAATGGATCTATTGAGTTTTATTCAAGACTGTCTGGAGTTGAGCAGCAACCACTGCTGAGGTATCTTGCTCAGGAAGCGGCTGTTGGCTACTGGCCTGTAGTTGTAAAGATCATCTGGATCCAGTTCAGGCTTTTTCAAGAGTGGCCTAATTACTGTCTCCTTTAAAGAGACTGGCACTATTCACTCAAGGAAGAATTTATAATATGGACACAGGCACCTATTTCTTGATAGATGCAATTTTAAGGAGTAAGGCGGCGGTCAAAATGGCTTGACTGAACATCTTATTTGCATTCTCTGGTCTCAGCCTGGCTGAATGCTCCCAGAAACCGGTACTGGGGAGCACTGCTTATCCACGACCTTTGGATTTCTCAGGGTTCAATACTTTGGCCACCTAATGAGGAGGAAGGACTCCCTGGAGAAGAGTCTAATGCTGGGAACAATTGACGGCAAAAGAAGGAGGGGACAGCAGGGGATGAGGTGGCTGGATGGAGTCACTGAAGCAGTCGGCGTGAGCTTAGGTGGACTCCGGGGGTGGTGGTGGACAGGAAGGCCTGGAGGAATGTTGTCCATGGGGTCGCGATGGGTCAGACACGACTTCATGACTAACAACAACAACAAAAATTGCATTCTCTTTTGTTTAACATCTACACAAGACTTTCCCAACCTGGTGCTCTGATGTTTTGAACCACAAATCCCACGATATCTGACCAAGGGCGATGCTGGCTGAGTACCAACACATACGAGTGGCACCAGGTCAGGGAGCCCAGGGACCCACATGGAGCTGCTGAAAGCGGTTCAGGGTTTCATGTCAACGCTATTTGTCTTTGTCACTTGATTCTACGGCAAAAGGGACAAGCGAGCAAAAGAAAAGGTGGCTGGAAAGAACTTTAAAGGCCGGTCACGCGCCCCCGCGGCGGTTCTGCCCGCGCGAGGCTCTCTCTGACCGCTCCGGACAAGGCACCCTGCGGCGGCGACGGCGGCGCTGTCAATCTGCTCTAGCAGGTGACGCCCCAGCGCGGCCTTGTCAAGGAAGGGACCGGGGCGCCGCGCTCCAGTTTCGCGCCTGCGCACTCTGTTTCCGCCGTTCTTTCGTGGGATGCTTTTAGGGCCGGGCTGAACCCGGAAGCGGCTGTGCCTCCTTCCTTCGGACGGTGCTTTGCGAGGCTGCTGAGGTAGCGGGATGCTGAACGTACCTTCGTCGGCGTTTCCTGCCCCCGCGTCCCAGCAGCGGGTGGCCCTAGCAGGGCGCAGCAAGGTGCGGAGCTGGAGGGGGGTCTGGTGGTGTCTGCCTGCCTAAGTCGATGGCCCGCAGGGAAGAAAGGTTTTCCCAAGAGGCATTTCCCATATAGCAGGCGGGTGGGTTGTTTTGTGCAGCGGCACCTGCAGAAGCTGGATCAAACTTTTCGTTTGTTGTTTGGGATTCCTGTGTCTTAAACAGGTTGTGCTGCAAGTAACGAGTCAGCAGGTGGAGTTCTTCCTGGCCTGGATATGTATAAGACAGGAGGAGTCTGCACCTGTTTGATGGCTGTCTGTCATGCAGGAATCTTGTCCCGTGGGAGAAAAGTTGTTGCTAGTCGCAAAGTCGTGTCCGACCCATCGCGACCCCATGGACAACATTCCTCCAGGCGTTCCTGTCCTCCACCATCCCCCGGAGTCCACCCAAGCTCACACCAACTGCTTCAGTGACTCCATCCAGCCTCCTCATCCTCTGCCGTCCCCTCCTTCTTTTGCCATCTATCGTTCCCAGCATCAGGCTCTTCTCCAGGGATTCCTTCCTTCTCATTGGTGGCCAAAGTATTTGAGTTTCATCTTCAGCATCTGGCCTTCTAAAGAGGAGTCAGGGTTGATCTCCTCAAGGACTGACTGGTTTGATCGCCTTGCAGTCCAAAGTGGCATCCCTTGAAACCAATGCGAGTTAACAAATCCTACAGTTCCCAGCATGCCTCAGCAGTCGCGCCTGGCTGGAGCATGTTGTCTTCTGTGGGAATTTTAACTTGCCTGATCATGCTAGGACCCTGCACAGTGCATGAACTATAGGAAAACAGGTCTGCTGACCTTTTTGTGTAGTACGCTTGTCTTTTGTAGGTAACAAAAGGATCAAACTCTTTAAGGATCTGGGAGTGGTGCATAATTAGTGCTTACTTTCAAAAACAGAAGGAAGTTTCAGGCCTCAACTCCCTCAAATGTCCTAATTCAAGATAAACAATGTAGTTTTTCAGAACTGTAGAATAACAATCTATAGATTATTCTAGGCACTCTCTTAAGAGTCCTTCAAGATGTTTGTGTAGCTTGATAGGGACCTAATAGAATAACTTGGCTGGAATTAGTTGAGCCACTTCTAATTAGTAGATACTCTCATTGTAAGATCACAGAAGTGTATCTTACATACTAAATTTGGACCATTCTAAAAATTAATTCTGTAGAGTTTCACATGGTGTACTGTATTGAAGCTATTTGCATTGAGAACTGAGAGCAAAATTGCTTGCTCAGCTCTTATGTTTCTTCTATTTTTAATATGGTTTATAGTTAAATGGTAAACTTTGAAGTATGATAAAACTGAGAAGGATATTTGTTATTTAGTGTATGGGATGGCAAGATTTCATTCTACTCCACTTGCATACTTAATATATTTAATTTTCTTCTTCTTACTCCTTTCTAGGTACCTTTGAAGCCAGGTCGAAGTCTTATGGACTGGATTCGGTTAACTAAAAGTGGGAAAGACCTAGCTGGTTTAAAAGGACGATTAGTAGAGGTGACCGAAGAAGAGCTTGCCAAACATAATACGAAAGATGACTGCTGGATATGTATAAGAGGTTAGTTGTTCTTTTGACAGTTATGCATGTGTTTGCATTGTAAATTCAGCTGGTTTTTAATAACTGGATTAAGATAATATAGCTCTTGAGATACATGGTGTGAGACCCATCTACCAGCTGGCTATGATCATTTTGGTGAGGTTATTTGTGCTTTTAGTTGAGTATTAGTATTTTTCTGCAAAAGTAGAGTATATTTGGTGTTTTAAAATACCTGTTGAACTAATCTGTTATTTAAAAACTAGTATTCATACTGCCATAATGGAAATTGTGGAATTTCCATTGAGGCTTCAGTGATTGGTTGGTGTCTTTATTTTTGTCCATTCAGAGCTTTGAAGACTTGCTGTCCCATCCTTTATACACCTACTTAGAAGTAAGTCCCATTTAATTCAGAAGGTAAAAAGGTAAAGGTTTCCCCTTGATGTTAGGTCCAGTCATGCCTGACTCTAGGGGCGGTGCTCATCTCCGTTTCCTGGCCGAGGGAGCCAGCGTTTGTCCTCAGACAGTCTCCGTGGTCATGTGGCTGGCATGACTAAACACCGAAGTGCACGGAATGCTGTTACCTGCCCACTGAAGTGGTACCTTTTTATCTACTTGCATTTGCATGCTTTCAAAATGCAAGGTTGGCAGGAGCTGGGACGGAGCAATGGGAACTCAACCTATTGTGCAGATTCGAACCAGTGGCCTTTCGATCAACCAGCCCAGCAGCTCAGCAGTTTAAACCACTGCACCACCTGCATCCCTCAGTGGGGCTTACTCCCAAGTAAACTGATGCTGGATCATAGCATTATTGCTTTTCAGGGGGAATTGACATACAACCAAGAAATAGTATACTTAGGTTCATTGCTTCTTTCCATCATATTCTGTTTGTATGCTAGAGCTGAGCTAACTTGTAAAAGTTTGCCACATTCTTGGTGGACTTCTCACATCCTATAAAAATTCATGAAGTCAGTGGCCAATTTGATTAATTTCTTTTTGGAGAAATAGTTTTATCAAGTTTCTGGTTGAGGTTTAGCTTGTGGCTATGTTTTATTCATTTATTATGTATTAAATGCTCAGGCTGACTGGACTCAAGCCCAAGCATGCACTTTGTAGATGGTGTCAGATTTCTGAAATGATAAAAAAGACACTGATAACTGGAAAGTGATTTTATTTTAGTATTTTCTTGTGCATACATTGGATTCAGATATATATTGAGGATATTGCTAAACAAAAGCTTTAATAAGTTTTGGAGGTTCTCTTCTGTTACACCTAAAATCACAGATTACTGTGTTGCTTTCTGTATAGGGGATAAAAGATGGACTGTACTCTACTGTACTTAATAGATAGCCAATATAATTATAGTTGTGAAAGAATCTCTAGTGCTGCCACTTCTGCTTCTGCCAAGATGCAGTATTTGTCATTCTTCCTGTTACATGACCTTCCTTTCCTCTTTCCTTTGGCTTGCTCTTGTGTCTGAATTCTGCAGACTGCTGCAGGGTTTGTGTAATAGCGTAAGTCAGTCTTCCTCAGTCTGGTACTCTGTAATGTGTTGAATTACAATTTGTAATCCAGTTGCAGGTGAAGGGATTTGCAGTCTGAAACAACTGGAGTACACCAAATTGGAGAAGGATAACATAAGACTTAATGGAGCAAACTGTGATTCAGCCTTCTGTTTCTACCAAAGACAGGCTAGAAGCCCCCTGAAAGTATTTCAGACTGTAGTGTTTCTGTTCATAGTGGTTCTCTTTAGCTATTGTAGTGAATTGCTATATATGAACCCATGCTTCATGAACTTGAGTAATCCCCTTTTAGGTTCCTACTGGAAAATCTGTTTTCCTGTATAGGCATTTGCACTAAATTGTTTTCTGCCAGCCTAATTCTTTCTGTAGACATGTTTGACTGTTTGACTCAAATAAACCGCTTTGTTCTGCTTGATGCCTTGTTGGCAGTGGCCAGATTGGATCATGTGGAATAGCTGTCACTTTAATGCCCTGAAAAAGTAAGAAATATTTAGTTAAAGCTCCTTATGCCTTTTTTTTACAACTCAGTTGACACATGTTAATATAAGCTGGATGTGTCTTGCATCAGGGAAGGGCAAACCAACTTGCTGTAGTTCTGAGTGCATGAATAAGGAATCCAGTATGCTAAAACAATTATCAAGACATGACTATAGAAAATAGACCATTAATTATACAAAAATATATAGACGGTTGTATAAATTGGCCAATAAAATGTCATTTTATGCAGTGGAGATATCTAAACTTTCCCTTGCTTATCCTTAAGAATTTATGTGGGAAGCAAGTTTATGTAAACTTGCATATATTCATTAACTTTTGTTATATTTCAGGGGTGGCCAGACTGAGGCTCTCCGAGTTCATTTTGTGGCTTGCCACTTGCTGCTTACCCCCAACTACTGCTGCCTACAGGCACCTGCTTGCTACTCACTGTTACTGCCTATGGGGGCCCGCTCAAATATCTGCCTTTACTGTATGTGGCTCATCCAGTGAGCAAGTCTGGCCACCCCTGTTATATCCCATAGCTACGGGTTGCAGAATTCTAAACAGAGCAGAATTTTCACTCCTGAACATGTTAGGCCACTTTGCACGTTCTTTGTCATTTGTTGGCCGTAATCTGATGCAGAGAGGTGAAGTACAGTAATATGACCTGCTTCTGCTTTTTGGTGGAGATGATAAAAACTCATGTTTGCCCTCCAAAGATAAAAATGAGCAGAAAAATTAAGAAAGCTGCCCACCGAGGCAATGTGTAATACTCCAAATCTGTCTAAACTTAATGTGCAGTGCCCAGTACTTCACACCAGGTGGCATCCTTAATACATGTAGGAGGAAAAGGCTTGTCAAATACAGCTAAGTCCTGTTGTGTCTATATGGGGCTAAGGGGTAGATACATTTGGACAAATGATCGGTATTGTCATTTGGTGCACAAAATATTAATATAGCACACTACAGTATATTCATATTTAATATTAATATCAAGCCCTATCTAAGCATCACTTTGGCGTATTTTGCACAAACTGCTTCTTGAATTTGCTTTTGGTTTAAGTCAGGGTAGTTGGACCCTTGGCCCACAGAACAGATCCTTAGTTTCCAGATAGGTACACCGCCTTTCCCTGCTTCTCCTTTCCCAAGCTGCCATTTGTTTAATTTCCTGGATTTTAAATATTATTTGTGTTCTGTGCACCTCAGAGTTTAGTCATGCCACCCACATGACTACAGAAGTGTCTTCAGACAATGCTGGCTCTTTGGCTTACAAATGGAGATGATCACTGGCTCCAGAGTCAGACATGGCTAGGTCATATATGCAGGGGAACCTTTACCTTAAAGATTATTTACCATTCTGAAAGGATAAAATGCTTTAACTAAAGTACTGGGAATAAGAATCTTAAATGAAAATATGCTGATATTTTGGCCCACCTGTTTTGCTTTTGGCCCCATCCACCATTGGAATGTGACTCCAAGAGCTTTTCCAATATTCAAACTCACCTTTGCTTGAAAGAGGTTCACCTGTTCCAGCAGGTTTAGATGGTCTGTTGCTTGCAAGTAGCCTTTCTAGATTAGAAGGCTTGTTTGAGAATAAGACAAGTCCTACCAAATTTTATCCAAGGGGTTGAAATGCTGTCAGATGAGAGATACAGCTTTTAGCCCTTCCTCTTCTGGTTCTGTACTACAATAGCCAACTCTCATGGTTACTTGTCTGGCTTTGTTTTACATTGTTGCAGAAAAAGATTTATTGCTGTTCCTGGAAGAGGTACCGTCCTTACAGCAAACAGAAGTAGCCTCATGATAAGTTGGCATGCTGGTCATTTTAGTGGTTAACTATTCCATGAAGCTATTAATGCCACTTGGTAGGTGCATCGTAGTGGTCTTTTATATCAAGCAAAAATAGATGCTACTTTCCACCAGGTCTCCAACAAACAGTTGCAGACATTGTATATAAAATTTCTCCTGCTGGTTACCTGCTATAACTTTAGACATCTCTACATTTTTAATGTATTGTTCTTTAATTAGCATGTGCATGAAATTTGTTGACTAATATTTGTGGCCTACCTAGTAGGTGTATGTGGAGGACGAGAGAGTGGGAGGGAAACAGAAATGAGGTATAAGGGATTTGGGACCAAGCAAAGGGAGCATCAGGGCTTGCCTCTTCCTCAGGAGATGAGAGGGGGCAGAAGCCCATTCCACCAGTAATGCTGACAAGCTACTTATTTTTTTTCTCCTTGTTCCTTCCCCACCTCCTTTCCCTTCTGTTTTGTGCCTTTTTAAATACTAAGCCTGTGGGTTTACTGTTTTTTTCCTGATTGATTGTAAGACAATCTGGAGCCTTTTTTCAAGGAAGAGCAGAATAAACATGCTTAAAAGGAATGAAGTTAGTTTGCCATATTGTTGCACAGGTCATGTGCTGTTCTGCTTACATTGGAGGCAATTGACAAAACTTCTTGTGTTGGTCAACAGCTCAGCTCAAAATGGTTCTAATGACAGAGGCTGTTCATACATCATTGTTTAATGAATGAATTACTCCACAATTAGCTTGGATTCTTGTCATGTGCAAATCCTTCTGGTTCTTAGCCACAACCTACACATGTCAAAAGCTGGAGACTTTGGACATTGGATGGGTGTTGTATCCAACTTCATCCTGAGGGCAATAGATTCCCCAACCCTCTATGTCTTCTTTACTTGACTCTTTTCTATGACAGTATCTGTTATGTATTTTCATGAAACAGAGCCAATGCCATTCTTTTACTCTGATGCAAATAAAATACTTTCCTATATGTGTTTATGTCTTCATGTTTACCTGAAAACATTTTAAAATGATGTGTTTTATATTTTGTAGGTCTTGTATATAATGTCACACCATACATGGAATATCACCCTGGTGGTGAAGATGAGTTAATGAAAGCAGCAGGAGCTGATGGCACAGATCTATTTGATCAGGTAACAGCAGCAAAGTGGTACCCAGTTCATTAAATATAAGCCATGGACTGTGTAATAGAAGCAGCAGCAGCAACAGCAGCAAAAGAAGAAGAGTGTTGTGTATGTTTAAACGCACACACACATTCTCTCTCTCTCTCATTGAGGTGAGACCAACTTTAATAATAACAGAGGTTTTTTAGAAAGCTATTTTAGCACTATAAATGGAAATTAAAAATGAATCTAGACCACAGTTAATTAATTTAGATTCTGTACTTAAATATTGAGGAAATGCATGCACATTTATCTCCTGTAGTTAAGTAATGGGAAATTGAGTCCAGATTCAACAAGGTACACTCCTGTATAGCAAAAATCAAAGCTTAAATATGTTAGTCCCTGTAGTCAATGCATTGTCCCTGTTCAACAAAGCATTAAAATATGTTTTTGCCATTTTTTTAAACAGGCACCTATTTTAAGTCAATATTCTTGGTTGATTCTCTCTTAGGGTTTCAGTGTTTGAGTGGTGGGCAAGTTTAGCCTAGAAAATATATTTTTAAGAAGATATGACCAAATGCTCAAAATAATGATTCATTTCTTAGTATAGTTTGTACTTAAAATCCTTAAAATAGGCTACGCACAAATAGTTTACATTGGAAGAACAGTAGTGCAAACCTTTTGAAGTCAGGGATACCCAAGTAAAATTTGGTGGCCTGAGACTTACCTCTGTTTATTCAGCAACTCTATAGACCAGGATTGCTTCTTTCATTGCTATTGCTACACATTTATAGTTGCTTGGAAACAGGCTTTTAATCAGTGCTCTAATATATTAAAATTGAAACTGTTTCCTGCCTTACAGGTTCATCGCTGGGTCAATTATGAGTCAATGCTGAAAGAGTGTATGGTTGGAAGAATGGCACTTAAACCTCTTGCCACTGTTTTAAAAGGTGTGTGCATTGTATTTATAATTATACAGAACAAATACCTTGTTATTGGAAGTTGAACAATTTGGTACTGTTTCTGTGAAGCTAGTGTGAGCAGATTTAGGTGTGTCTGAAATATTACAAGTGCAATATCCTGAAATCTATGTATACACTACTAGCAGGTGTTCTGTGTGTGCATGTGTGTACTTTTCCACAGGACAGAGTTTACAAAACTCAAGTTTCAGCAGATGCCAACTGCTTACTTGGAAGCCATGTTCCTGAAAGGAGTAGATTATTATTACTTATTTATTGTATTTGTATGCCGCCCCATAGCCAGAAGCTCTAGGTGGCTCACAGAGCAATCATAAAAATACAGTTAAAATAAATAATAATAACTAAAATCATAGAACACAATATAATAAAAATAAAATATAAACACAAGCATATAAATACAACAGACAGAAATAAACATTGTATAACCAAAAAAACCCAACAACCAATAAAACAATAAACCAGCAAGACCAAGAACAATAAACCAAGAACAGGAAGGTGGAATTCCAAAGGTGAGGTGCTACAACAGAGAAGGCCCTTTTCCTCACCAATTCCCTCCTCATTTGCAGGGTGGTGGGGGTTCGCAGAGAAGGGCTTCCATTGATGACCTGAGTTGTCTGGTAGGAATATATGGAAGCAGGCATTCATTTAGATATTCTGGTCCCAAACCATTTAAGGCTTTATATGTTAGCATGAGCACTTTGAATTGGGCCTGGGCAGTGGCAGCCAACCAGTACAATTGGCGGAGGACTATGTTCTCTAGGGCTGGTCCTTGTTAGTAACCGTACTGCTCTGTTTTGGAATTAACTGAAGTGCCTGGACTGTCTTCAAAGGCAGTCCCACATTTATTTATTATTTGAAACACTTTAATGCTGCCCCCATCGCAACAAAGCCTCGAGGCAGCTCACAACAGGAACAAAATAATACAATAAAATATTGTACCTGAGAGCGTATTGCAATAACCCAGGTGAGAAGTTACCAGGATGTGGATAACTGTGGCAAGGCTCCACTTGTCCAAGTAGGAATGTAGCTGGAAAATCGAGCTAAGCTGATCGAAGGTGTTCCTGTCCACTGATGCCACCTGAAAAATAATTGTGAGTTCAGGTTCCAGGAGCACCCCCAAGCTATGAACCTTATTCTCTAGGGGGAGCGCAACCCTGTCCAGGATTGGTTGAAAATTTCCCAGTTGGACAAACAGACTGCCCACCAACAGGACCTCTGTCTTGTCTGGATTGAGATTCAATGTATTGGGCTTGATCCAGTCCATTACCAAACCAAGGCATTGGTTCAGGACAGTCACTGCCTCCCCTGGGTTAGATGAAAATGAGAGCTAGAGCTGAGTGTCATCAGCATACTGATGGCACTTCAACCAGTACCTCTGGATGACCCACCCAGTGGTTTCATGTAGATATTAAAGAACATGGGGGATAGGATGGAGCTCTGCAGAACTTTGTGCAAATGCCATGGCACAGACAGTCGCCCAGCTCCATTCATTGGAGATGGTTGGCCAGATAGGAGTGAACCACTGCAAAGTGGTGACCCAAACTCCAGTCCAGTCAGCCTTTCCAGAAGGATACCATGGTCAATGGTATCAAAAGCCTCTGAGCGATCCAGGAGAATCAACAGGGTCATGTTCCCTCTGTCTCCTTGCATAGGTCATCCCACAGGGTGACCAAGGCAGTTTCTGTTCCAAATCTAGGACTGAAGCCCAGTTGAAATGGATTTAGATAATCCATTTCCTCCAAGAGTGCTTGGAGGTGCCCAGTCACGGCCCACTAGAACACTTTGCTCAGAAAGAGATTTTTGGCTATAGGTGTATAATTATTTATGTCCTCTGGATCCAGATGTGACCTTTTAAGGAGTGGTGAAACCACCATCATCTTCAAAGGGGCAGGAACCTCTCAAGGAGGCATTTACCACCTCCTGGATCCAGAGATGCGTTCCCTCCTTCAGTCTCTCAATCAGTCAAGATGGGCAGGGGTTGAACAAACAAGTTGTGGCATGGATATAACCTAGCACCCTGTTCACATCCTTGGGCCTCAACAGCTGAAACTCATCCAGTAATATTGGGCCAGGCAGCGCACTGGATGTCTTTGCCGATAGCACTGGGATAACTGTGGTGTCCAACTTGGGATCAATCTGAGCAACTTTACCCTCGGAGTGTTGTACAAGCTTGTCACAGGGGGTCTCTGAGGGTTTGATGATATCACATCTTGGGCCAGAGTGTAAAAGGCTGCAAACCACCCGGAAGACTTCTGCAGGACAACAACTTGAAGATGCAATGGAGGCAGCAAAGAAAGACCTCTTTGCTGCCTTCATCACCACAGAATAGGCCTGATAGTGGGCACTAAGCCATGTTTGGTCAGATTTATTCTGAGTTGTCCTCCACCTGAACTCTAGCTGTCTTCCCGCTTGCTTCATTGCATGTAGCTCTGGTATATACTGAGGAGCCAGATGGGCTCAGCAAGAGGGGAGAGGGCACCTGGGAGCGATCATGTAAACCTCCTGAGTCATCTCCTTATTCCATAGGGTAACTTGGCTGTAAACAGAAACACCAGCCATGCCAGCAAGGAAATCCCCCAGAGCCTGCTGGAAGCCTTCTGGATCTATTAGACTCTGAGGACGGACCGACTTAATGGGTCCCCCTCCACCCCTCCAAAGGGGAAAAGGGGCTGAAAGTCCAGACCTCAGGAGAAAGTCATTTGACCATGACAACGGGGTTGATGACAACCCCCCTACCACCAGATCACCATTCCTGTCCACTTGAACAAACCAGGTGCAGTGTGTAGCCTTTTATATGCGTTGGGCCAGTGACATGTCAAGACAGCCTCATGACAGCCATGAAGCCCTGAGCCGCCCCAGACAAGGCCACCACGGCATGAATATTGAGGTCCCCCAGGACCATCATCCTGGGAGTCCTCAATAGCACGTCCGAGACAATCTCCGTCATCTCAGGCAGGGAGTTTGCTGGGTAGTAGGGTGGGCAGTGCACCAGCAGGATCCCTAATCTGTCTCGGTTGCCCTGTGCAAGGCACAAACACTTGAGACCTGCACCTGAGAGGAGCCTTATGAGGGGGAGAGAATCCCTATGGATGATGGCTACCCCCCATCTCCAGCCCACCAGGCAATGTTGATTCACCACTGAATACCCAGGAGAGCATAATTGGGGGAGGGCAACCCCTCCCTCAGCTCCCAACTGGGTCTCAGTAATGCAAAGCAGGTCAGTACCCTCATCCACAGTAAAACAAAATTTTTAAAAAATTCCTATTTCCCAAGTGGCCACCAATGGAGGTGCACACAGAAAGGTGGCTGGCTAAGGGGAGGCTCTTCCTGCCCGTGGCCCCGCCTCCCTTGGCCTCTGTGCCATGCCTGCACATGGGCTTACACCCTGCCTGTGCTGGCCTGGTTTCTGCCACAAATCGGCTCTATCCAAATGAAGGTGGAAGGCAGCGCGTGCTTTGCAGTGGCGGCAGGAGTGGCTCAGTGGGGCCTGCAGACAGAGTCCCACCATGACAGAGGGGAGATGGAGCAACGAGGTGGAGAGGGTGTGTGGAAAGGTAATTCGCTAAAAGCCTATGTGGAGGGTCTTCCTGCTTGTGGCTCTGCCTCCCTCAGTCTTCACATCGCACCCGCGAAGTGGCCCATGGCTTGCCTGTGTTGGCCCAACATAGATTATATGTCTGTGGAGGCTGCTACACTGAAGATGTATTTCATCACATATCCTTCTGCCCACTATAGAATTCTCCCAAAACAAAATTTATGTTACATGATGTCTCAGGGGATAGTGTGGTCAACAAATGATATAGTGGCATACTTACTCTCAAGCATGCATGAATGTACATCCCATCATTTTGCATTATCTGCCACAGCAGGTAAAAGATTTGAACTAGTATTGTAAAGAAAGCATCAATGTACTGCAAAGTGATACCCTCATTAGATAAGTCAAAGTCAAATTAATTATGGGATTTTTTAAATGAAAGTTGTAATTTAGTTATAGTTTTGTGTCAAATGAGAACTGGAATGCCCACATATTCATGCTTTATTGCCTTTACTTTTGTATTGTTTCTAATACATTTTAGCAATAAGCACTTTAAGTATAGCAAATCAGGCAATATTTCTGGGACCACTGTACAGATTTTGTGGCAAAGCTGAATTTTTCTTGTATTCTTGATTACTCATGATACCTTGATTTGCAGAGGTTTGCCGAATTACAGTCAATATTTTTAGATGCAAGCCTGAGTATTCTGTGGATAAACTCTTAGTTTTGTTAAGTTCAGTGAACTATATCTTCAACTCTTATTGCTAGTCTCAAAAACATGTCTAGTAGGGACAATGTGACCTATTACAGCCGAGCAAGAATGCTGCCTAGGGCTTGTTCTTTGCTGAAAATCATTGGCAGAGTGAAATAACTATATCTAAACATAATTTAGTAAAAAGAAAATTGCTGAAATGTCATCTGAAACTGGCCTCAAAAGTTGGGATTCCTTCTACAATAGAGGCAACTTATACATGACTCTAGTGAGCAATGGAGGAGAATTCTGAGTAAGCTCAGTGAAATTATCAACAATTCCTTTGATGCAGTAAAAATTTAGAGTAGAGGTGTACAGAAAGTAGATCTCCAGATGTTGTGAGGCACAGCTTTCATCATGCCTGACTTTCGGCTATCCTGGCAGACAAGGATTTCTGGGGTTTTAAGTCAACCCTTTTGCCATCAACTGGGTCTGTCCTCTTTTTACCTACCTTGGTGTAAGGAGAATTTTAAGGCTTCGCTCAAGCCCATCAATAAAAGCAGGTTATCTCCATAACTCCCCTACACGGAGAGGCCAGAGACACTTGTTAATAAAGCCTTGGTGCTGTAATTTCTACAGTGGCAGATTCAGAACATGAAAACGAGTGAAGAGATTTTTGGACTAAGGCCAGTTTTCAGGATTAGAAGTCCAGGTATAACCTGTGCTTTGGGGATGGGATTGAAG